TTTTGCTTTTCTGTAGTACAGAAATCAGCGGGTTTTTTCCTTTTCCAAAATATTCCATTTTGGGTTTTTTCAGCACCTCTCCACAACATAAAAACTGGTGCTTTTTTGTTTTGTGCATGAAAATGGTGGTTTTCTGCTCTCCAGCTGCACAAATCCAGGCAGATTTGGTTTTCAGAGGAGCCCTAAACTGAACCGTTTTTCCCCAAAAAAACTGTGTTTTTTCCTCCCATTGCAGACCCAGGATCAGGGGGGTTGGGGTATTTTTGTGCCGTGGTAGTGACTCCTGCTCTGCCTGCAGGACCCTGTAGGGGTCAGGCCCAATTTGAAGGAAATCGGCCCCAGAATGGGATGGGAAAAGGAAAAAGAAGGGAGAGCAGGCAGCTTCTGAAAGTGCTTTTATATCTTCAATAGAGATATTTTAGGGGGTGAGGCCAGAGGGGAGATGAAATCCCTTCTATGACCAGGGTTTCTTTGCATTTTACCAATCTTAAAAGACATTTACACTTATGTATCTATTTATACACATATATTGATTTAGGATATATCTATATTATCTATTTCCACTTACAGAATATCTATCTAGACATACATATTTGCACACACACATATCTATTTACACTTACATAGAGTATCTATTTAGACTTAGCTGTTTACACTTACATCTATTTAGACTTAGATATCTATTTAGACTTACATATAATCTCTATTTAGATCACGTATAAGCTACCAACAGCTCTGAAAGTCCCTGGAAATGCACCCCTCAGATACAAACCTCCTTCTCTCAGGCGCACTGTCACAGGTTCTTGTCACGTCAAAGGGACTGCAGGAGCCATAGCCAAGAGTACAAAGAGTAAACCAATCACTTATTAGTCATTACACATAAATAACACTTGGGATTGAAATTTCACAGGGCTTGGTGCCATTATGCTTTCACCTGCTGTGAAATCTGAACAGTTGCTACTGGACTGGCATTCATCAGTCTGGTGGGGAACTGTCAGCTCCTGCTATTGCCCTTGATGTGGCAAGTCACCAAGCGGCCATCAGCCTCCCTTGAGCTTTTTCCTTTGGGGATGGAATTAATTTCTGGTAGTTGAGAGAAAACTGCATCTGTCTGTGCTTAGACTAGCAGCCTGAAAGCACATTTCACACCTCTCAGCTCCTTGCCACCTCACCGGTCTGGCACCATGTGTCATGCCTCTACAGCATCAAACCGAGACCTCAGATCAGAGCACAGAACTGAACGCTGGGTGGCACAGGAGAAAGTTTTTGTCATGATCTTGACCACCTGCATTGCCCAGCACCAGAAGTCACAAGGCAGGTGGTGGGTGGCCACAATGCACAGATGTGTCTCAGCCAGCCGCCCCGCTGGCCGTCATCCCTCTGACGCTGTGCTGGCGTAGCACATGCTGCTGGAGACCCTGGCTGCAGGGTTCCATTTGTAGCCACAGAGCAGGCTCGGAGCCGGGCCACCCGCTGAAAAAGCAAGGGCACGTACTGCTCCCTGCTCCTGCTCGGTCCATCCTGCACGATCCTGGAGCTGGGGGATGGTTTGCTCCCACCTGCTTTCCAGTCTGGGGCTTGATCCACCTTGTCATCCGGCTTCTGGTGGCGGCACTGGTGACTCCTCGGTCACACACGGCTCTGCAGTCGCTGGGGGCCCCTTGGTGCCCTCCTGGGGCCACGCAAAGCTAGCTGTGCTCTTCCTCCTTGCCCTCTTGGATCTCTGGGTACCCTGTCATTTTGCTTGTTGTGCCATTTTACTTTTCTACTCCTTCATCCTTACTCTCTTCCAGAGCAAATACAGTCCTTGAGGAGTAAGAGTAATAATAATAGTGTTAGGAGAGATACGCGCTGCAGCCCTCAGTCTCAGGAAGACATCCTTTTGCTTCACGCAGTAAGAACAGAGTCGCCATAGGGTTCCCAGAACTACTTCTGATAATTATTTTTGTCACAGCAGGCATTGCAGAAAACCACCACATGGTTTGCAAGCCCTTCCATAATACATTTAGAGCATGAAGATTCTGCTTAGCATTGAGACTGGTCTACAGACAAGTCTTGGGAGGCCACAATTAAATCTTCTCTGTAGCTATAGGAGTAGTCCAGAACTGGGAAAACTGAAAATAGCTTAGAACCATCCTCCAGAATAAACAGCAGCACAGAATACTACTGCCTTATGTGTCTGACAGCTGCATGACATGTGCGGAAAAAGCAGATACAGGGTACTTTTGCTCATTGTTTCTGTGTCTATTAGAAACGCACTCTGAGCTGACTGACTCACAGGAATGCTCGAAATACAAGGTGGATGTAAATTTATTTTATACTAATTTTGGCTGTTCTGAAGAGTGGGGAGAGTCATCATCCATCAAGTCTTCATGCTGTCATCTGAATATCCCATACTAATACATTTAATAAATGAAAATACAGATTTCAGCACATATATAATGTTGAAATTCACGTTGAAAATAAACAAGAAAAACAACAAGTAAATCCTACCTGTTTAAAAAAATACCACTTTCTAGTTCCACACTGTAGGCAGGAGATCAAAAGATAGAAGTAGCAATTTATGCAAGCTGAGCCATCCCCAGCTTGGATATATCACTTCACCTCTTTTTTCTAGTCATCAAGGCATGTGTTGCCAATCAATATGGCCACGACCCCTTTTAAATTTGACCAAATTCTGTCCATGTAACAGGAGTGCTCTGCTAGTGATAAGCACCCAGTATGCTGAGTAACAGAACACTGCATTTTACAAAACAGCAAGTTCTGATTATGCTTGCTCATCACCAACTGGAAAAAAAAGACCTCTTTCACAGACTGAGATGGGACAGCAAAACAGCTTAATAGTAATGAAATTTTTCTGAAGTGTAGAACTGCAGGAAATCTCAGATAGTCGAAGTCTAGTTCTCACCATTTCATGATGATTAGTAAGGCAAACAGCAGTCTCAGTTATGCAAGATCTGTTTTAAAACCATAAAAGCATATTTCTCTCTTGTTCAAGGCCAGTCACTTAGAAAAAGCTGTACAACTCTTTAAAGACATACTGAATAGCAAAATACCAACACCTCTGTATAAATATTCACTAACATCTTTTTGGTCCCTTCTACAGATAAGGTTGCCATCTTCCAGTGATGATCTTCTAAAATAATTAATTCAACAATTCAAAGTAAATCACCATTACTACCAGAGGCAATTTGAGAGAATGCTTCATTAGGCTCCAAACCATGAAAGCCCTCTCTCAGCTGCACATTTAACATGCTACAGATCTGAGCTGCTTTTTCTTTCAGTATCTTAATGTATTTATGTTAAAACTGAGTTCTACCCTGCAATAAATTGCATAATCCCATAAATGTCAAATCTACAAAATTGAGACTCATACATAAAAGAAGGCAAATGTAACCAAAAAAAAAAAAAAGAGCAACATCAAAGACCCAAACATTCATTAGTAAAACTCTGAGATGTGTACATACTATTGTCCACTCCTGTAATGACAGAGCATTATCTAGTGCTTTGCTTATGTTTACTTACAATGAGTCTCCAAGGTAAAATTTCATGAATTTGAGGTATGAGACATACCATTAAGTTGAGATTACAAGTTCTCTTCACGGTGAGTGGTGATACGGTCATTAAAATTCAACATGTGATCCCCCTGATCGAGTGCTTGGGTCTAATTTTGGGCAGGATAAACAATCCTTGTGTTTACGAGAGCTTGTGTGAGTCAAATGACACAAATGGCTATTGCAAACCGTAAAGTAAAGGAAGCCTTTAATGACAATGAACGAGATTCTCAGGCCACGGAGCTGGCATGCCACAACCACTGAGAAAGAAGGATGCGTGGCACTAGGCTGCACAGGAATGCCACCTTCCAACGGACTGAGAGAGAACTGGACTATGGCTGAGCAGCATCAAAGTTTCTTCCTGTGTTCTGCTGTTCTACACATGAGGAATGGTCCAAGATCTGAGCTGCACAAAATTGTGTTTCATCTGGTTTTACATCCTTTTTGGCTTGATCTCTGAATATTTCACTCTGCAGCCAAGGACCTGGTCCCTGCTTCATGAAAAAGCATATGCTTTATGGAAGACAATGTAGATTTGCAACAAGCATGCTGATAAATGTCTTTAGGGCAGCTAGCTCTTTGACATAACGGTCCTTACTGCCCCTCAAAATGCTATTATGCTACCTAAGTTGGATCTGTACAGAACAATGATACAAAAAAGATCGTTCTTCCTGAAAGGGGCAAAACAAAATTATGAATTTACTGTAAGACTTACTGTAAGACTCTTTCGGGTCACCAGTCTTGAATTTTATCAGCCAACAACTCCTGTTGCTTCTGCTCTTAAGAGAGGCAATCAGAGTTCATTTTTCAAAGTTTGGCAGGAAAATTATCTTCCAGTTTCATCTCTAGAGCGCACATACTTTGAGGGTTCTTCTGTAACTTTAGATCACTGGTAGACTGAGTCAAAGCCTCGTCATTTATTTGTAAGGCTTTCAGCTGTATCCTGTCATCACTGTCTTCACTGTTAGAGATAGGATGTATTTCTTGAATGTTCAAGAGATCTCCCATACTGCAAGTCTCCTCTGTGTTACTGGAACTCATTCTCAGGGCTCTTCTTGGAAGGTCTTCCTTTCTCAAGTTAATCTTCTGAAGTTTAAAAGGGAGCTTGTTTTTCTCTCCTGCAGTATCAATACAGTCAAGCGAACAAACCTGTTCTCTTCTGGTTTTGTTATTATTGCCAGGACTATTCAAAGGAGAAGATAGGGACAGGTTTTCTTCTTGCTCTTTAACACTGTAAGGAGGAGTAGGGACTTCAAATGTAGCATGAAACTGAGAATAATCGACACGGAAAAAGCCATCTTCTAGGGACATTACTGGGAGGAATCTGTGACCCCAAAGAACTTCATCTTCTGTATATGAGGTCCTAGCTTGACACGTCATTCCTACAGAAACAGAGACAAGAGCGTGACGTTCTAATGTGAGCGAGTAGACTGGCATACGAAACAAAAAATACAGCATAAGACTGACAGATATAAATCCATGATAGCCCATAAGCTAACAAATTTATAGATTATAAAATGGAGTGATTCTTCCTAGTCAATCTCTTGACAGGCAATGGAGCACCTCTAATTGTTCGAATAGATTTTTATGTAAATATTGGATTAAATACTGCAGACTCACACCAAGCAAGCAACTTCTGATAGAAGTAAAATATTAAATTAAGACAGTATTAGCTCACTAGCAAGAACAATCTTGTAGTTTGTATGCAATACCATTTCTTGGAAGTCACCTTGGGAGAAAGGAACGTTGCTTGGCAGAGGCTTACAGAATTCTCTGGCAAAGATTGGGTGTGGGGGTAGCAAAGCTAAATGAAAAATTTAATTCTCTTTCTATAGGCTAGACTACTTTTTCTCCAGATACGTCAAGACAAAAGCTGTGCAGAGAGCTTGCAGTTGTCTTCCATGCTAAGACATAGGTAGCACTGTAAAGCTTGTAACAGAATTTGTTCCACTTAGTGCAAACATACATCACTGACAGAATTTATATGTGTGAAGTGACAGCTAAAAATGTGTTCTAACCAAGCCAACAAATGTGTTACAATCTCAGCACAACAGTGCTGATTAGAATTAATACAAATATCCCAGGTGAGTAGAGCTTTAAGACCTCCTGTCATAGTACTCTTCAGAGGCAGAATTAGCAGTCAGTAAGCCCAAATTCTGATTTGCTTTCTGATTACTGCTACATTAGTTCTCAGACAAGTGTAAAGTGTTTCACTTGGGATACCCAATTAGGTAATTGCATGAAATGTGGTTATGAACACGTGCTTATGTAAGATATATGGTTCATTTGCAGGATGAAAAAAAGGCTTCTATGGGGATCTAGACTGATGCACTTGACACGAAAGAACGTTTTGTCCCGATGGATTGTGTGTTTAGGGCTCAGTGCAGGACATGGATAGTATGTGGTCAGTTCCATTTCCTGTCCAGCACGAGATGATTGCACTTGGCTGTGCAAAAAGGACATTACTGTCTCTAAGACAGGAACCAGGCAATCAGTAATTTTGTTGAAAGGATGAAAATACTCCTTGATTAATCAAGGTTTAACAAATCCTCAAAAGAAGGGAGAGGAAGATCAGAGTATCAATGAACCTACTGAACGATTTGGACTTAAACAGTACACATGGATCCTTGATGCAGATCTTTTTACGTAACTGCAGTGCGTTGTCACAGCATTCATAAAAGAATTAAGTCCCCAAAAGACAAGGCCACAAAGTGAGCTGTTGTCTAGACAACGCCATATCAAAATTAAAAAAAAAAAAAAATAAAATAAAAAAACAAATCCCAGCTTACGTTTGCTGATAACCATGTGTTGCTACAATCTCTGTGACTATGCAGTCTGTATTTGTACTGTAAAACTGGGTTTCTTATTTTGGATTCAATTTAAGGTAGGTAGGTTGAAAGTCATTTTGCAGCGCCGGCAACTTTTAAAGTTCAATGTTCTTCCAGAGAGCTGGTCCTTAAAACAGGAGTCTCACAAAGGTGTCATACTCTTCTACATGCCATACTCAAAGAGTGGCGGCATGCATTTCTTCCTGGACGTATTGGTCACTTTGGGCATCAGTAACACAGAGCCCTGTGGGGAAAGGAGGTCTCCTCTTAACTGGTAAAGGCCACTGAAGCTCTGTAGCATATGGCAGGATATTCTGGACCATCCCCAATTAGCATCCCAAAAGGATTAACACCTGCCTCGCTAAAAATATCAGTACTGAAAACAAAGATTAAAAATTAGAGCATGCATATTATTATTAATCTTACCAGTAGTCTCAACAATTCCTTCAAGGATGACAACTATTTCAAATTGCTCGCTTCTTAGTGATCTTTGTGACAGACAAAAAAACGGGCTCTTTGAATTAATTTCATGACAGATGGTTAATGGGGAAACTAAAAACAGCTGGTCAGCTCCAGTTCCAAATCCAACATCCAGTTCACACTGGTCTAGCGGCAGAAATTCTCCCTCCGGTGTCTGTCGGGACTAAAGATTAGAAGATGATTTAGCAATCACTGTGTGAGGCAAAACATGAATTCAATTCAATGAAATTTCAGCCTCCCTCTTTCATGACATTATCATCTATGTGTTTGGTCTGGGGTCTTCATAATGGTGATAAAAGTAATGCTAAACACTGTAAGACTACTACACATGACCAATTTTGACTTTTCTTATCATGCCACTAGATCTCATCATCATCTACAAACTTTACTAGGATATAGATATATATTTTGACAAAAACATCAGGTACCAAACTACATGCCTTATAATGGACGTTCACCACAAACATCTGTGTCAAAAGTTCCCATTAATGAGACCAAAATCTACAAGCCAGGCGCATATCAATCCATTGCCCGAATTCACATTTCATTATTTTTATACATTACCAATTTTTGTTTGGGAGATACTGTGATGTACTAACTCAAAGGTAAGCATCATAGTAAGCGTACAGTACAGCTGGTGACATTTCCATAAAACCATCTGAATCAATATTAACAATGCTATCATCCCTTACCAGTCTGCATGTATCACCTAGTGTATGTTGATCTTAATAATGAACTTATGATCACTGTTAAACTAAGTGCCTCATTTTTATTCATGTCATTACACAGGTCCATTAAAAATAACTTCCCCCTGCCCCATAGTGTTCCCCCCAAATCTTCCTGGTACTTAGAGTATAACTAAAAATTACATCAGTTGGCCAGGCAGCTCCTCAGCTGATTGCTTTAAAAGTCTCTGGTGGAAATTGCCCATTAAAATTAGAAGCTTTGCAGAGCCTATTTAAAATCCTTTCTGCTTATTACCTGATTAGAAAGCACTTAACTCTTTAAGAAGATGACTACAGTTATAAATTATAGACTACTCCATAGTTACTAAATAGCTTTAAATGTGTTACATTGGTACTGACAATGTATTGGTTCCATTGCTTGGAAACGCCATCCATTATTCCCGAGAGCAAGCCAAAGCTAGCAGTTTTGCCACTGACTTAGATCTGATCGGTATTCTTTTAAGAAAGTTTCTCTCTTTAAAAAAAATTCCCTAAGCAACAAGCATACCTTCAGATTGTCTCTCCACCTGTATCTTAAAAACGCTGCATTTTTAATTGCCTGGTATTTACTGGCGATTACATAACCAGTTGGGTAGCTGGTAGAGCACAGCTCCTTATTAAATACAACTGATTATTTCATTTATGTGCTATGTGTCTGGTTTTTTGCTGAGGAAAAAAAAATTCTTCCTATCTAAATAACCAAGTTCTCCCTCACTCAAAAGTCAGTTTCTCCACTCACAATGAGGACAGGGAAAGTATCAGCTGATTGCTTGTAAAAGCATTCTTATGGATTATTTGTGCTTTGAAAGGTTAAAGGCAGTACTGTAATATAAAAGCTATCAAAACCACTACTATGTATCAATTGTGACCGTCTCTTTTATATGCAAAGGTGTAATAAAACTACCGCAAAAACATTCTTTCTCTTCTCCAAGAGGGAACTTGCTGAACTAAGCTGCAGGCTACACCACTGCTTTTGTTGCCTGGCTACTCTTCTTTCAGCAGGTGCACAAACTGGTTGGCAACATATTATCTCTGCTTCAAGGTAACAAGGCTCAACATGAGCTAGCTCTATGAACCAATGTCTAAAACATCACATTTCCCCAAAGTTTTATCAAATACAATTACCTAGACAAAGATGTGTATATTTGCACAAACTGCTGCCTGAATGACTTAAGAACTGTTTCATCTACAAACCATTTTTCTTTGTGGAAGAGTCTTCGATCAAATCCACTCAATAGTAAACAAATCCAGCGAGGATGATTAGAGGTAACAGATCTGGGAGAAAGCAAAAGGTTGTGTTTGAGGTATTCAGTATCTTACATACAGGACTGCTTTATTCAGGGCATGGAGAATTTTTAAAAGAAACTTATTTGTTAAATAAAAAGAAATTAACCTGAATTAAGATAGCTTAGCAGCCCTATAATATGTTAAGACTCCTAGACAGGGACCTTTGTTGCATATATATACAGCTTTACTCAAAGAATCACAAAACAAAGCAGAGGACTATAAACTATCAACAGTAAGTTTGGAAGGAACACTTGTGATTCTTTATTTTGACCACCTGTGTAACACAAAACCAAATGTACTCCACAGATTAATACATGCTTGAACAAGGGCACAATTACTTAGAAGTGCCCCATTTCAAATGTGGCCAGAGATGGAGAATCCAAAAGTCGAGCTGAGTTCTTCCAAAGGTTAACTGCCTCACAGCTAAGGAAAAAAAAACACTCCTCCTATTACTGGATTTTTCCACCTTTAACTTTTTGCCACTGGATCTTTGTCTTGTTTCTTATTACTAGGCAGAATTCCATTGCATCATTGCTTAGTCGGTTTTCGTGTCTGACCAAACATTTTATGCCCTTCAAGTATTTGCTCCTATCCTTTTCATTCTCGCTGCTTCTCTAAACCCTGTTGTTTATGCACATCCTTCTTTAACTGGACACAATGCAGTTTTATTATTAACCTGCTTTCAGTTTACTTGTTTAGAGAACTCACATAATTATGTTTGGATACCCAGGTGGACTAATTAAGCACTGGAGCAGAAAATGCAGGATGCAAAAGATAGATGACCACCAAGCTTAATACTGCAGTACATTGTAGAGAAACTCAGAATCTAAAAAAATGCTAAACTGGTACGTACTTGGGAATCTAGATGCTAAACTGGTACATTCTAATTTGCCATTAAGTGCTACTGTATTTTCAGTTCTGGTATTCGAGAGGAAAAACCCTGATCGCACCTACCTACGCTTATGCCCCACCCTTAGACTTGCAAGAACGTTTATTATATATTACATTACTGAAATAATATGAACTTGTTACTTTAATACCACTGTTAATGAATTGTATGGTTTTTGCTAGTGACACTATACCTGGAGCTGTAGTTTAGATATTTCCCAGGATGACTGCTACTTTTTAATATAGTCCAGTTGCTCCAAACTGTAAATAAGACCTGACTGAGCTGGGCTCGTTCAGACGGGAGAAGAGAGAGCATAAAGGCGGATCTAATAGCAACCTTCCAAAACCTAAGAGGAAGGTATTCAAGAAGATGGAGCCAGGCTCTTCATAGCAGTGCATAGCGGGACCAAGAGAGACAACAGGCAAGTTGAAACTACAGAAGTTCAGGCTTGATTGAAGAAACATTTTTCCATCATGAGGACAGTTAGGCAGTAGAAGATCTTTCCCAGCAAGGATGTGCAGCCTTTGTCCTTCAAGGTTTCCAAAACCAGACTGGAAACAGCCCAGAGCAATCTGGTCTGACCTCCTAACTCACCACACTTTGAGCAAGAGGTTGGACTACAAATCTTTCAAGGTGCCTTCCAATGTGAATGATTCTATGATATTAAAAATTGTATCATTTGCACCTTCTGCACATCAATGAGATCACAATATAATGGATCTTCTTACTTACTTGCAATGCCTGTCATCTGCCATTTGTGAACTATTACAATCGTTTGCTTTCAGCTTATTCAAAGCTGTTAATTAGTACGGCTCAAAGAACAGGTGCCTGCTGGTCACAGCCCCAAGAGCACTGGCTCTATGGCTACTATGCTTCACAACTGTCTTTTCAAAACTAGCACATGTTGAAAACAGGCTACGACAATTTTACATTTCTCAGCTTTCCGAATCTAAACATCCTATGCTACTAGCTGAAATACTTTACATACCACCTTACACACCAACACTATTATGTTTATCAGTGATATCTCTAGTCCCATCAAGAGCAGATCAAAATAGGTATCGAAACTAAGTTTTAACAAACCAATACTGATCACCAGGTGGTGGATGCTGGTTACTGCCTCTATCACCAGATCACTCAGCCATACTAGTGACGTATGAATTAACAGGCAGAAAAATACAGTTCACTGTGACGCTGAAAAGGCCAGGACCTTTCCACATTTCACTAACTACACTTTTTCAGCAGCTAGTTCTGACCAGCTTCTTTCTCTTTACTGCCTCAGAAGCCTGCTTATTCCTATTTCTAGAGGACTGAATTAGAAAGACGGGTTCTGGAAACGTTTTTGCTGAAACATGGACACTTAGTCCTGTAACTGTTTTCCAAACTCTCCACAACTCAGTCCAAAAAGGGCCCCAGACTTTTCCATTACATCAGTATGCCATGCTGCTGGGCAGTCCCCTGGACCAAAAAAAGAAGCCAGCACAGTGTGGTGGTACCACTGTAATCTACCAAATATCCTAGGGCATATATCACGCTTCCAGTAAATGTCATTCAGACAGACTCAGATTGGTGTGCTTTCATTACAAAAGTAAATCCTCAGCGTTCCATTGGTCCGACCAAAACACTATGTTCACTACTAAATGTGTCCTATCTCAAGTACAAAAGGGTGATAAGACATATTTCTTCACGTTCTTTCACTGTGACACAAGTAAAAAAAAAAATCTAGCTATGTGATTGGCTGCAGAAGCGTAGCAAGATCAGCTGTCAACAGCACTGCAGACAGTGGAAAGAGCACAAATCACAACTCGGCAGAACTCACTGAAGATCAACGGTAAGCAAGTTTCAGCACATTCACCAGAAGTTTACAGGACACAAAAAGCTACTTCAAAGCAGCTGATGTAAACTCACACACTCCAGAAAGGCCTCTATGACTGCTGGAATGGTGTGTCCAGTTCAAGGGGCACCTCAACAAACCAAGGAGGATTTACAGAAAGACACAGGAAGTAATACCCTGCCTTGTAATGAGGAGGCAGCTAGTACACTTTCACTTCTACACTTCCCTGTGTCCATAACTTATATTTGCCAAAGGTCACAAACTTATAACTTATATTTGCCAAAGGTCACAAAGCAGCTTGAAGACAAGTCATGAGCGTGATGACCGTTGGAAGGAAAGCAACTATTATTCACTGATTCACTATCTTGTCTATGAAACAGCTATCATAAGATGAATCAGTCAAGCAGGTCCATCAAATATTCTTATGTTTTCTGTTCCAATCATCTGCATACCAGCATTGTGTAGCAATAAGTTTATCAGCAGAAAGTGCACCAGCTTGTGTGTTCCATGTTTTATTTCAGAAGTTTGTAACAAATCACCGTCACTAAAAACACACAACTGTGACACTGCTTTTATTCCACTTTGACTTGCATTCCATCTTGGATGATGGACAGAATTAAATACCTCAGCGGAGGCTTTCTGCTCATTTTTAATAGTTAGAGATCAACAAAAATCATGGTTTAGCTGGCTTTTCGATTCCTACCAAAATTGGTCCATTGTAAATCCTGACAGCTTGTTCTCATATATACATCCTACTTCTTTTTGAATCTTAGAAGATTCTCCATTTGAAATGGTATTCTGAGACAAGAAAAATTAACAGCTCAGTCAACTGTTCTGCACAGAAGGAAACCAACCTTTCACATTTACCACTGTCCCATCACCTACTGTATCATGCTTGTTTCTCCAGATTACTAAAATGGTCAAACAGTTGCTTCAAAGAGAGGATTACTGTAGAGAATATAGAACATTTAAAACATTCAAATGTGATATTCTCAAATTAACATTGTCACTGGGATCCAGGTTCCAATGCTCACCATCAAGCATGCTCCCATGACAAGACATAGCTGCTATGAGCTGCTACATTGCTTCATCTCGGCATGCCACACACAGTGTTTTCCTTCCAGTGTACTCATGCCTGATCTTCCAGAATTCTGTGCCCAACAAACTCTACTGTCTCCTGATGATTTCTTTACTTTTTTTTTGTTATGGCCTCCTTTGAATTCCAGTTTTCTTGCATTCTGAATTACACTGACCATTGCCAGTGATTAATAAATCACTTGTGACAGTGAAAGGGTCTTTCTACTGAAGGACCTGCACAATCCCTCTAAAATGCTGGGAGGCCACTGCCTGGAACCATGGGGTAAGGAACTGCAAGTATAAGCTCTCCAGGTTTCCCTGAAGGGAAGAGGAGGTCGAGGTTGATCTTTGTCCTAATTTAACGTCACTACAAATCAATTTCTTATTCCCAGCTGAGACCTGTTAAGGGATATGCCTTAGTATCCCTCCCTGTAGTTATCCTGTATGTATCCTGACACATTCATCCTAACCAAACTGGCCTCCTGTCAGCCTCACAATCCACTGGAATGCCCCTGGGAGGTCTCTCATGAGACCATCTTTTCCACTACGCCTGCTTCGCTTTTTCGTGGTTCCTACTATTGACAGCCGCAAATTTTTCCAAAGTCTGTCATACTGCCCCGGCTGCATCATCTTGCCCATGCACCAAGGGACAGGGCAGCTGCCTCTGAGGCAGGGCAGAACCCACCAGCAGGCAGCAGCAGGGGCTGCATAGGGGAAGCCCCATGCTACCCATACTATGGGCACATGGTTGCACTTGGCCTGTGCCCTGCTCGCATCACCCACTGCAACCCAGGTGCCCCATCCCACCAGCTGTTGCACCAGGCCTCACCTTGATCAGTTTGCAGCGGATCTGGGCAGACACCATATGGCTGTTACGGAGGTTGCCGACACGGAACATGAGGCAGAGCTTGCCATCCCGCTGCGAGACAACTGCAGCATGGCTGAACATGAGGGTCTCAGCTCGCTTCTTGGGCTGGGACATCTTGATGAACATGCAGCCAATGAGGAACGCATCAACGATGGAGCCCAGCAGTGACTGGAAAAGGAAGAGCACGATGCCCTCTGGGCAGCGCTCGGTAATGTAGCGGTGCCCGTAGCCAATGGTGGCCTCGGTCTCTATGAAGAAGAGGAAGGCAGAAGGAAAGTTGTACACGTTGGCCACACACGGACTGTAGGTGTCATCATGCGCCCGGTGCAGGTCACCTCGCAGGTAGGCGATGCCCCACCACATCGAGGCCATGACCAGCCAAGCGACCGTGTAGGTCAGCAGGAAGATGAGCAGGTTCCAGCGCCACTTGAGGTCCACCAGCGTGGTGAAGAGGTCAGACAGGTAGCGGCTGCTCTCACCACCCAGGTTCCCGTGTTGCACGTTGCAGCGCCCATTCTTGTCCACAAAGCGCTGCCGCTCTCTGCGGGTGCCGCTGCGAGCCGGGCCCACCGCCTGGTACTCGTCCCCAAACTTCCTGCGCACAGTTGACATGCTGCCGGCTGCCAGGCCCTCTGCGAGCACGGTGAGGACGCGGCGGCCCCTCGCCGCGGGCGCGAAGCAGCAGTCAAGCGCGGCGCCGGCCCCCGGGAAGGACGGCACCCTGACGCCCGCCACCAGTGCCGTCCGCTCGCCGGCAGCGCGGGGAAGATCCGGCAGAGCAGCCAGAGGAGACCGAGAACGAGGCGCCGGCCCCGCGCAGCCGGCGGGTGAG